GGAGTACAAGTGTCCATGATTTTTTTCACATAGTAATGCCCTGTCCAAATACCCACACTTGCAGTCTTGGCCACTTGAGAGCACGTAGGCCTACACACACAGGAAGTAAGTGCGCAAGACTGTCCCATATCTTTAAAATGCCAAAGTGCAGTTGCACATTTTATTGGTGCAAAGATGAGTAGCCTAGGGTATTTTCTACAACATTTGCAACTCTTTAAAATTGTGTCTTCTGTTAGTTAAGTGACTGAACAGAAATGTATAAGTTTATTTTAAATAAGTATATTAAGTATTGAAAATAATAATAATTTAAAAAAAAAAGAAGCGCAGTAAACACATTTTTTGCAAGACTATTGTGTCCCATCGGGTAATCAAAAGTTCTACACACACTTGCAGTCTTTAGCCTTGAACACTTGCCAAATACAGGAAATACGTCATGTATAAGTAGACATGTAGACAAGTGCAAGGACCGCAAGGGGTTTTTGGACAGAGCATACGTGCCACAATTCACCATTCACCAGGTTTCGTAGCATTCCAAAGTTACAGGTGGTCTAGATTAATTTGTTGATTGGACTCGCCGTTTGCCCGTGCGAGCTTGGGTGCGCATGTGAGGCGAAACAAACTGGCGATGTCTTGCGAACTTAAAACCTTAATTACAGTCTTTATATTATCAACAATAGCACTTCTTCTCAATTGTCGTACTTTTAGCGCTACGTCTGGGCGGGAAGTTTATTCAGAAGAATACAGTTTCAAGATTTTTAACAATTTTGCGGACGAAAGCGGTGCGTTGGAATTGAACCTAACAAATCCAAATTTAAAACGCGGTAGACGCGCGAGTTCAAAACTTGACGTCTCAGTTGATTCTTCCTATAGTCATACGAATGAAACGATACCTCTACAGTCGAGTAAGTACATGTATGAATCGCGATCAAACGACAGCGCATCTATGCACTTGAACAATGAAAAAACTCCACTCAGAAGTTTCCACAAAAAAGCTTTTGAAATCGAGGCTGGATTTCAAGGTGACGCACCATGTGTGTTTTCATTTTTCTAGGCATGAATATAGCCTACCATTAGTGTGTTTTTAAAATGGTTACATAAATACGCCATTCCTTCAAGAACCATGTTACACGTTTTTGTGTTTTATGGACAGCATTTGGGGGACCAGGAATCTCTAGGAAAATTTCTCGACGTGGGTCTAGCTCCCAATCCACAGATAGGCCTATGTGGCTGGCATTACACACGGTTCACTGCTCAGAAGAGGTAATGACCTTAACAGCCGCTGGAAGAGAATACACGCACATCTTTGTAGATAGAGGTGAGAATAAAGTGACTCTGTTATTCATGTTTAGGTTCAGTGTAAACACTGGATCACTTTTTGCTTAACATTTTAACCTGCTGGTCCTACAGACAATTATCTGGTGTGCTTCATTCACAGTGAATGCAGCCCCACTGCCTTTATTCCAGGTGCCTGCATATTGCGGATATTCTGTAAGGGTCACATGGAAAGATCTGGTCCTAACTGCCCCATACAATGGGTGCTACATCACACAAGAGGTGCCAAATATGTCACCTTATACTTTAGTTCCTTAGTTTGTATTTACCAAGCATGCAAAGAGAAATAACAAGAAAAAAGTAGTAGCTATATTGGTTTGTGCATGACAAACTTTACAAAGTTCTTGATGACATTACTAGTCCAGAATGTACAAAATCTTTGCTGACGATTTGATTTTATCCCACTGTTTTGACATATTTCTGACGTAACAGTTTGCTTGCTGTTTAATCAATACATTTTTGCCCAGATTCCACCTTTTAATCAGTCTTTCCCCTTTTCAGAATGGCAATTATGTTCTATCACTGCAGTGGTGGGGCAGTCCCGTAAAGATATCCTGTCCTATGGCACCTGTGATCTCAAAACCAACTCCTTCTTTCTTGTGCTCTCAATTTGGTATGGTCATTGCAATAGAAGGCACCCAGGAAGCTGCTGAGAAACACAGGGTGAAAGGTAAGAGTGTTACACGCACACATTTGAGATCGTGCTGTTTTTTGTTCTGGCTGTCACTGGAGCAAAAGCCTCACCTTTAATTAAGCTTATGGTTTTAACCTCCTTTTATTGCACAAATGATTGAATGCATTGTTCTCACGTCTATCCAAATTAGAAGCTTGCAAAAAACTGTTATCGATACTTTTTTCACAATTGAATCCTTTTTTTGTTGTTGAGGTTTGACATTCTTCATGCATTTTTTCCCCCGTGTGTTAAGTGAATGGGGACGTACTGCCTCTCCTATCTGAGACGTGTGCATATCGCATACAGTCTCCTCCTGAGGTCATTCTACTTCATGCCACTTTCAGTTCTGAATGTGTGACCGTGATGGTAAGAAACAGAAACGTTTTAAGAGAAATTAAGGTAATTTGAGTATCTTACACTTAAAATGACCACATTTGTGAATCTTTTACACAATTTTGTAAACTGTACTTGTTGATGATTGATTGATTTTATATAGATTTTTATTTTGTCTATCCTTAATAGTATGAAAAATATCAAAAAAGTGACTCTAGACTGTGTAAAAGTTCACTTAGGAATATAATGGTACGTGGGGATGAGTGATACATGTTTACCGTGGTATCGTTCAGAAAAAATCACTGAAATTGATAGCAATGCTTACATTGTAGTAGGAGTACCTATCCTTGCCAACTACTGGATGTTCTACCACAGTTCATGGTTTTCACCTCAAAGCTTTCAACATCCTTTGGTTTTCTATGGAAGCTTGTTTCCACCATGGATCTCGAGATATAAACTCTGAGTTTGTATTCCAATTCTGAGTTGTTGTTTTTTGTGAGATATAAACTAGCAATTGCGGAAAATTGCAGCTTTTTATCTGACTTTTTTCGCCCCTTGCAAATCCTAGTTAACTTGTAACTCTGAATTTTGCACAATTTTGAGGGGAAGAAAAGATATATATATATATATATATTTTATTACATTGGGGAAACAAGCTTTTCATATCTAAGCGAATCGCTAAAGAACCACTTAATGTCACAAGATCCTTGATTAAAAAGTCACTGCTTGCTTTGAGAAAATATCAGCCATGTTTCAGATCAAGAAGTTTCACTTGTTTTTCTGTAGGATGGAGAGAACATCCTTGTCATCCTCTGGGATGGAAAGCAGTTTACTCTTTCTTGTCCATTCCCTTACCACCTGTCTCGGTTTCCTCCCTACCTCCATCCTCATCCATTCCATGAACCACTGCAGCCCAATCAGGAGCAGGTGTCTTTTATCCCACATGTTCCTACTTTCCCAGCAGTTCCTGGTTCCACACAGCAGCTTGCAACACCTAAACCAGATTCATCTAAACCTGGTGTGATCCCTCACCTTCCTTATAAACAACCTGCAGTACCACTGTTTCATCCTGACAAACACCCTCATACCTCTCATCATGACAGGCGTCCCGTCCATCAGAGACACAGTATTTATCAGCACCAGAAACCGCATGCTCACATTTATCATCCAGCACCTCCTGTTGATAATCCTCCTAAACCTTTCATTCAACAATATCTGGCTCTACCTGTGGATCAAGTTCCACAAACACATGAAGAGATGGAACCCCAATACCCAGTGATGCCCCCTCCACACTATGCACCGTACCCTATATCCTGTCCCCCTTATCCTGTGTCATTCTGTTCTAAGCCCCCCATCCTGTACCATCCTCAGCCAGCCGTGACCACTGCTTCGCAACCGTCCATCCAGCCAATGCCATGGACTTCAAGTCCTCGACCCACACACAAGCCATTTGTACAAGAGCCCCTGTTCCCCCAGATCCCTGTCTTTCCTCCGCCTCCACCTGCAGAACCCCCCAAAATGTCTCCATCACTTTTTTGCACGAAGAACAAATTAATGGCAACTTTTCCCTCAACTAGAATGGACTCCATTAAAGTCAAAGGTGAGCGGCATTATGACTTTTTTTATTGTACATGCCTGAATATAAACTGCTTTGATGCACATTTAAAATATATGAAAACTTTGTGTGTTTTTGCTCTTTTCTGTGGTGGTAATTTTTGAAGATGTAAAGACGAACACCTGGATCTCCATCGCATCTGTCCCAGCAGCCTGTAACTACAAACTCCACTCTGGAGGTGGCAGTGTTAAGCTCTCTTCACCACTACCTTCCTGCCACACACACAAAAAGGTGAGCCCTCAGTGCTGAGATTCACCACATTCCTGTGTAATACCATAATAAACTTTAATTCAAACTTGTATATTTTTCACAAATCTCATATAAAAGTAACAGTAATTGTAAGCAAATTTAGGTAAAGATTTCAGCAAATATATTGAAATGCTTTTTTTCTCTAGTCAAAATGTAATCAAATTAATGAAATATGGCAATGAGCTAAACTAATTACAAAAAGTGACTTTGGAAGTCAATATATATTGTTTGTATAGTTTACAGACACAATGGGTATGATTAATAATAAATTAGCCTTTGGCTAAATCCGGTACAATACATGAAATGGAAATTTTATGTTAAATTGTGCATGGTCCCTTCATAAAAAAAAAGGTTAATACATAACAAACATTTTCCTGTTTTTGTAGAATGCTTAGAAGAATGTTAATAAGCAGCCAGTCTTGGTAATGAGACAGTTCACCCCTTTTCCAAACAAAAACTGCTGCATAATGAAATGTATATTGTATGTAATGTATACATTTTTTTTTTTATGTACACTTTTAAATGATTTTCTTTTTTTAATTACATGTTTAGGGTTGTTAGGTTACTTTCTGCACATTGTCCTGTGTTTGTCAGGTATCATATGTGACACTTTTTCACTCTTTCTCCTTTCCTTTCCTCTCCTTTTTACCTCTCCAGTCCCCTACAGTGATCTCTCTATATGTCAGGTTCTGGGATTCCCCTCAACTGCGATTCCGTACCCTACAGCTTCAGTGTCACCATGTTGGAGATAGAGGCACTCGACCTACAGTACCTCACTTTACAACGGTACACACAACCGCTCAACCACCACCTAAATTTCAGGTGGCGTGTTCTAGCCAACATATGAGTGTAAAACTGCCACCTGGACCAACATCTGGCCTCATTGTACAAGGTGAGTTTGAGGTCGGTTCAGGCGAAAAAATCTGCGTTTTATCAATTCCCATGAAAATGGGGCAATTATAGTTTGTTTGACGTCATGTGATTTATGTAAATTTGTTTATATTTTAAAAAGGTTTTATATAAAAGGTTTTTAAAATATGTCATTTTCTTTTATAGATGCTTCCAGTGGGATCATAACAGAAGCTGCTCCTATTTTGGAGGCTCCAAGTCATTGTGGGTATTCTGTAAGAAGGGATAAAGATGGTGCCATCAACGTGATCCTGCCTTACTCTTCATGTCACATGACTCATAAGGTCGGTGATGTCATTCAGTGTTTTGCAGATTGAATGACTTTGACTTCATGAATATTTGTTTCTTTTAATCAGGATGGACAGTACCGAATTATATTAAAATATCAAACACCGAATGGGCGCACAGCTGAGTCCTTGCTGTCATGTCAGGCTTCTTTCAGTCAAGGTACAGTATGAATCTTTCTAGACAGTGTTGGGGAAAGTTACTTTTAAAAGTAATGCACTGTTACTTTTGCGACACTTTTTCTCATCTGGACTGGGCTTAGTCTCAGCCTCAGACGTCACACCCGCCAATCAATGGCTGAACGTCTGATACATAAGGCACACAAAATTAGAAACGCTTCTGGAGTTTCAAAGTCGTCATCTGATTTGCTGAATTCTACAGGATGTCCAGGAGATGTGTGTGTTGTGTTCTTTAACGGTGCCTGAAAACAAAGCTGTCGTGACAACAAATCCCCTCGCAGAAGAAGAAAGCTGCCATGTTTACAACTGAGACAACGAGTGCTTATCAGGATAAATTAAACGCTGTTCTGTCAAAACAAAAGTATGTAAAGTTCATGGTATAGACTCGTTAATGTATAGACATGGTATTAAATTCGTTAAAGAGTTTTCACACCGGTCTGTTATTGTAGAGACATCGACTTTACATTTCCACTCCCCTAAACTTGACGCTGAACAAAGTGAACTGCGATTGGTTGCTTTACAAGTCAGTCAGACGGCCTCTGGGGGTCTTGGGCCAAAATAAGTGCCCCATTATGGTTTTTCGAATATTCCCTCTCATGCAGTAGCCTATGTAATATAGCTGTTTGTGAATGTAAATGTTCTATAAAGTTGTAAAGTCAAAAGTGTACGATAAATTGTTATCGTCTTCCAAAAGAAAGATTAGACTCTGAACCGCTAAACGAGTCGTCTGTAATTCGAATCCCACTGCGTTACGGTTCGACATCACTAGATAATACATTTGCATAATGCCTGCCTATGTTGTACGTTGCCTGTGAACAACTTGACCCGCCCACAAACAAACACGTAATTTTACTGACGACTGCTTCTCAAATCTCGGAGTTTAACACAGGATTCACAAAACAGTACCCAGTTTATTTGGACCAGCTTGCTCCTCAGAATCACAACCTGTAATTATGAATAATTATTGATGTGTATATATTTTCCACCGAGTGTTCAAAATATGTAGTTTTATATTGTGTAGGTCTCCGACTAACCGTCTAACTCACGTTATTACTGTCTTACTGAAATAGTTCTGCTAAGCAGCTGTGGGCCACTATTACCTTTTAATAAATATCACTTTTATATTAAGGAGGGATTTAGAAAGACTGAATCATCCGAGTCGTTCAAGAATCATTGAACAATGTGGTGATGTGCAATGTATATTATGAGATAATGAAAGTGTTTCTGCATCTTTGATGCATGTAATCCTGTTGTAGGAGGCTCCAAAACAAAATTAGGAACCTTTAAAATAGCATAATAGGGGCACTTTAAAGCTGCCAAGGACTCCAGACCTTCTGCCTTCGGTCTGGCTACACTACACTACACTACACTACACTACACTAGGCTGGGCTTGCTTGTTTGTTTTTTAATAAGTTGCCAACCCCTGTAACTCACGCTACTTGTACTGCATTACCCCTAACACTGCTTATGAATGGATTCAAACATAGTGACGTTCTAAAAAAAAAAAGAAAAAAAGTTAAATTTCACATTTGTTGTGTAGAATCATGTAATGTCGCACCTGAGCAGCGGCTGGTCTGTGGATCTGTGGCTATATCATCATCAGAGTGCCATGACAGAGGCTGCTGTTATTGTGAAGACACCCAGTCGTGTTATTACCCCATGGACGGTGAGCTGGACACACATTATTAAGTTCAAACGGAATAATAAACAGTAATTCAAAATTGGTTCTTGGTGTGTAGTATTTACCAGTCTCAAAGTAATTACATAAATATGCTTGCAATTGTGTGTGTGTGTGTATATATATATATATATATATATATATATATATATATATATATATATATATATATAAAATAATAATCTGTAAATATTTTGAAAAGCAGCTGCTTTTTTTTTTTTTTTTTTTTTTTTTTTTAAAGTAAAAACTGCACAAAACCAACATTTCATCATGACATTCATGACTATGGTGATGAGAAATGATTTACAATTATACAAATGTGGCTTTAGAAGTAAATATATGGGCTAGATAATTGCTTACATTGTTATTTTAACCTTTTTTTGTTACAATGTTAAACTGACATCCATATTTTATAACATGTTTTTTTTTTTTTTTTGTTGGAAATAATTATTTCTTAGAATCAAACAGGAACATTTTCTGGAAGAGAAACATGGTACTTAACACCTGTGCAATTTTGTGTGTATCCCAATCAGAATGTACAATGGATCGACATTTTGTTTTCTCGGTTCACTCATCTGCCGCGGATCCGCCCTTTTCCCCAGCCACCCTCGTCACGGCTGGCAACAGCTCTTGCACACCCTACAAAGTTACAGCTGACTTGGCCCTCTTCAAGATCCCGCTGGATGAATGTGGGGTGCACAGATATGTGAGTAGATTAGTTGCAGTAGGTATGTATCTGAGGGTGTGTTAACACTTGTATAATTTTCTGTTTTGTTCCGGACCAAAAGAGAATGAACTACATTTAGTCCTGGTTCGCTTGGCGTTCTCACTGTCATGTTTAACACAGAACCTAAAGATTCAAAACAAGAACAATACTTTTTTTTTTTTTTTTTCACAATTGAGAGTTTACATCTCACATTGCATTACTCGCAATTCTGAGAACTCACAAAGAGCTTATAAAATGTGTAAAGGAGTCAACCAGGTATTCTGTTTCTCTTTTTAGGGTCGCATCTTGTGACATAATGTCCTGTTTTTGGTATGTTTGGATGTTTTTGGTCCGTGTTGCGTTCATATGTCAGTCGAACTGCACTAGAGTTCATTTGGAGTGCATCAGGGTTCGGATAGCAGTGTTCACATTTATTCAAATGAACCGAACCACACTACCAGAGCAATCGCCGAAGAGTTCGGTTTAACCCAACCAAATCTGCTAAGTGTGAACACACCCTGAGAGTGTGTGTACATGCAAGTCTAACTCAATGTCTGTAGGAGGTGGGTAAAACGGTCATCTACATGGTCGAGATCCTGAATAGAGTGCAGCCCATCAGTCTGAATTACGGCACCATCACTAGAGATTCGCCTGTAAGGTACGTATGAAAATATAATCCCTCCAGTACTCAAAGAACTGAGCAACATGCTGAGACCTCATGTTCCCTGTCGACCCAGGCTACTGGTTGAGTGTCGGTATTTATCCGGATCTGTGGTAAGTGTGGGTTACCTGGTGAAAAGCCCCTCCCTTGGACCTTCTATCAAAGCTCAGGGGGTGTTTGGAGTTCAGCTCAGGATCGCAGAAGGTTTGTTCACCACAAAACCTTGCTGAATCATCTTATAAATAATTTTCTGGAAGTGTATTCTGTTTCTATGTTTAGGAAACTGATGCGCACATGAAATACTTTTGCAACAAAAAAGTGGTTTGTGCATCAACTGCAGCCTCTTTTCATTCAGATGAGCTCTACAACAGCTTTTACCCACAATACCACCAGCCCCTGCGTATGCTGCTGGGGAAACCCCTTTACCTTGAAGTGCGTCTGCTAAACCCTCCAGACCCCACAGCTATACTGCTGGTGCATTACTGTGTGGCATACCCGCGCTCTGCAAAATCAGCCTGGATCATTATTTATGACGGGTACAAGAGAGATGTTTCTTTTTTTTTTTCTCCCTAGAAAATCATCTATCTATTGAACTATCTGGTCCAGCAACCTGATTAATTATATACCTTTTTTTAGGTGCCCAAATTTTCTTGACCAGACCCCAACCCACGAGCCTCCTGCTACACCTGCAGAGGCCCTGACCAATCATGTTAGACGATTCACGATCACTACATTCCAGTTCCTGTCTGAAGATGCCAACCTGCAGGCAGATGAAGAGGTATAGAGCAGCTCTAAAAGGGTTTAGGAGAATAGATGTCTTATATGCACAGACCCTTTTAATCAACTTTTGAAACGTCTCTGTTTGGCTCGTCACAGATTTATTTTATGTGTTCAACGGAGGTTTGTCTGCCCTCAGATGATCTGTGTGTCGAGGGCTGCTTTGCAGGTGAGTGTCAGCCATTGTGCCGTCTTCCCCCGTATGCATTTATGGCTATAATTTATATCTCTGGCCATGAATAGGTCTACTATAAAGTCTCTAGAGCTCTTGACAAGAGAAGCTCAGTTTTCCCGCTCTCCTGTTTTAGTGATTTGTTCATTTCGCTGGTTGCATTTCATTTACCTAAAGCACTTTATCTCTCCAGATCCCTCTAATGTGAAGGTCTGAGAAGACTTATGAGCTGGATAAAGCCCAACTTGTAAACCACCATTCTTTTTGTTTGACAGATGTACACATTGTCTCATTAACAATTGTAAAGCAATAAAGCTTTGAAACTGTCATTTTCTTGTTATGCTGAAGTTTTACTTGTATGGCAACTAAATATAGATTTTAGAAGATAAAGCTGTGAAAATACTGACGGTTTTGAATTATTGCTAATGGATTTATACACAAGTTCAACATAACATATATTGTGAAACAAATAGCTATAAACACATGTTCTGCAGTGACTCAAATGAACCTGTGGCCATCAGCTGTTTGACTAATTTCTGTATCACTGGATACAAGTCAACATTGCATTTAATTGTGCACTATTTTTCCTCGCATTCATTGTTTTATTACTGGTGTCCAGCTATGACACTTTCACTCAATGGTGGCTTAAGAAATGACTTGGTTTTAACATATAGAAGAGAATATGCACTTGATAATTTATAATACTTTTTGTGTTTTGTAAAGCTAATATATGTACATTCACAAAGGTTGTGGTTCAGTAGCCACGTGGGTCCTCCTGAAGGAAAAAGTGTGTGTTCAGCTGAAGGGTCTGTAGTGTTTTCTGCTGTGTGTGATCAGGTTGGAGCTCTGACTGAAGGCTTTACCACACACTTTACACACATGGGGCTTTTCTCCTGAACCAAACACAAAGTAAACCATAGTTTAAAATGTGGATCAATCAAAGCATGCACTCAATATACTGTGAATACATTATACATTTGTATAGATTAAATGGGGGGGAAAAACGCAAAAGTTGTCCATTGTCAGAACATTAGAAAACCACTGCAATCTGGATTCTATATAATGTTTCAATTCAACTTGAGTCTCACCGGTGTGTATGAAGGTGTGTTTCTTCATGTCGGATTTCTGGTGGAATCTCTTGCCACAGTACTGGCAGGGATATGGCCGTGTATCCGAGTGGATCAGGAGATGGGTGGACAGAGTGGATGAGCGTTTGAACACCTTCCCACATTCCTTACACTCAAATGTTCGTTCCTGAAATGCAAACCATTACATGCACTTTGACAATATAACTAAATGATATGACTGCTTAAGCAGTTTATTTATATATATATATATATATATATATATATATATATACATACATAGAAAATGTGTGTGTGTGTATATGTATATATATATATTAGTACGTATGTTTTTTTGATAAAAAATAACTGCTTAAGCAGTGAATAGAATATATATATATAAATATATATATATTTTATATATACATACACACACACAGTAGAATGTTAGAATCTTAGAATGATTTCTGAAGGATCATGTGACTGAAAACTAGAGTAATGATGCTGAAAATTCAGCTTCGTCTGAGGAATAAATGACATTTTAAAATATATTAAAATAGAAAACTTTTTAAAATTGTAATAATACTTTACAATAGTGCTGCTTTACTATATTTAATCTTCACATAAATTCAGCCTTGGTGAGCATAAGAGACGTTAAAAATTGTAATTATTACAAACTTTCGACTGGTAGTGTATGTAATAACTATAATATATCATTTGTTTTAAAAGTAACTTTATTCTGAAAAGTAATTGCTTATTGTGTACTCGCATGTACAGAAACAAAAAGGTATAGGCCTACTAAACTACATACTTTATACTAACATAGTTTTTTAGTCGACAAATAAGAGAAATAAAGTTCAAGAATTCCACCTAACAAAGGCTGCAGTTACACTACTCAGCACCAGAGGGAGACCTTTAACTTTTGATTGTGAATACACAGAAATCATTGCAAACTAATGTTCGTACCTTTACCCTGCATGCCATAACTGGGTCTTTGCTGTCATGGAATACCAGAGAGCGTCCATGATGATGACTACCATGCGATCTGTACACGTGAGACTCCAGGCGAGCAAGAGATGAGTAAACCTAATGGAAAAGTTCAAAACAGACCTGTTAAAAGACGCCTCAGGAAGTGAAAAGCTCTTTCCCCTGTCACTGGAAAGCCTTGAGGCCAAAATATAGTCTTCTTAAGTACTACTCAAGGAAAATGTTTTGTCATGTATTATTTATGGACTGGAGGAGCTGGTCAAGTGACCCCTGATCACACAGTGGATTTGAAACACAAATTGCTTCAGTGTTTCATTTGTGTTACATAAGAACATAACCTTGTCTAATGATTACTATTATTATTATTTACTTTTGACGCAAAATGTTCTACCTTGCCACATAAGCTGCAGTGTTTGTGGGCCAGATCCCTCCGAGGACTCGTCAGAGAACAGTCTCTGCTGTTGAGCCCTTGCTTGTCTGCTATGTCTCTACAGTTGACAGGTAACCAGGGCACTGGAGAAGGAGGAGGGCCGTACCGGAAACCTGCTGGATCTGCAGAAACCAATGAAGAACCAGTATTAATCACACAAGACGATCTGATAATATCAACACACATTTAGTGCTGTATTGGCTTTGCTACAAAAGCATAGGTATGTGCGTTTTTTAAGCTTTTGCAAAAACAAAAAAAAGGACCCCCCCCCCCTCACTCCCTCAATAAATCTTGTTGATCAATACCTGTTTTCCAGTCATTATCGGGACTCTTGAGTGTGCTATATTGCTGCATGATTGGAGAATATGGTTGTATCTCTTGGCCTGGTTCCTCTGGCAGTGTAGTGACTTTTACGGGGACAGACCAGCCCACCAGGCCTAGATAGGGCACGTCAGCTATGGGAAGAGAAGAACGAAAGCCTCCCTTCCTGCTCTTCTTCACCAGAAACGAACGAGGCATGATGAACAGAGAGAGAGCTAGAACCAGTGACAGGGAAGACTGTCGTGCAGGGCTAAAAATGGAGAGAGGAAAATATACAGGGACATGATGAAATTGATTTAAATGAGGATTGAATATTGTGCGCTAACAAAGCAAATTTTGATTGAACAAATTTATGGAAAATTAAACCTTTCCCCCCTAAAATATATATTTAACAGCATAATAAGTAAAATTTAATATATGAATTGAAGGTGAGCATGTTACCTCATCATATTGCCTTAGAGTTTATTAAATGCTCAAACTGTAAGTTGAATTTAAACAGTGATGATAATTGTTATGAATCACTTTGGTCTTGGTCATGTTAGGTATATCCTTCGACATCATGAGGTTGGTAATTTTTTTTTTTTTTTTTTTTTTTTTTTTTAATTACTCACTGATTCTTGAGTAGGCCTACTGGGCCAAAAGCAGCCTCCAAAACCTAAAACAAATATTTAAAATTATTTAAATATTTGAAATATTTGAAAAATAAAAAGCAAATCTATCCATTACTTCAATGAATGAATGAATGAATAAAGACTAGCCTACTGTGGTTTCAAAGTTATTTTTTTATCTATTGAATCACCACAGATAGAAAATCTTTTGCTGACATCTTACTGTTGATTAAACATATCACAAATGTATTAAAGCCAGGTAGAAGCCATTTTGTGTTTCTGGTATTGCAAGGTACTAATGGGAGAGAAAAATCTGTGATTAGCCTACTTTAAATTATTAATTTTAAACATCAACAGACCTTTTGTAACCTTGTAACTCATAGTGAATATGGAAAAATAATCTTCAGGTTGAAAATATTGATAGGCAATTAGGCTACATTGCCTATACATTTTAAAAATGTTGACATACATATCTGCAAAAACCCCACGGAACCCTTCCAGAGAACCGTAGCAGGCCTATATTGTTTCAAATTTATTTTTTAAGATTAATATATGTTTTAAGTAGGCTACTTAAAGTATTAATGTGGACATGCGGTTTATAATCAAAATGTAATGACACGATTTTGTAAAGGCTAACATAACATAAAACCTGAACCTAATTTCAAATAAAAAATGTTGCTATTTTCAAAAATATCCGCCGGTTTACTGCCATTGGTGCCATACGAACTTATCTTAAACTTCAACTTATCTTAAATAAATTGTCAGGACTTACCAGTAGATGCGCCCAGAGCCAGCCAATAGTTTTTTCGAGGTGTTTCTATAATAAAATGCACATTAAATGAGGTATAATTCTCAGTTTTATCTAGGCTAACTGTATTTATTTCAAAGAGATTAGGCCGACCTACGGCGTCGTATGTGTCTCTGTCACCAGCAGTAATAAATCACTGAGGACAGGTGCGCGTTCCTTAAAGCGCAGCAAAACTGAAACTTCGCGAGGTAACGCGCGTTCACAGCACTGGCCGACCACAGTCGCGTCAGTTTCCGCCGCGCGCTCTGCCTCGAGCTCTACAAACCCCACTGATACTAACTAACTGCCTCTGCAGTGCGAAGGAAAACTACCAGCAAAATAAATCAGGGTGGTCTCATCAAAAAGAAAACACGTTCTGTTGCATACATCTGAAAAGCACTTATTTTGTTAAGCTGTGCATGGATGTGACTAATAAAAATCACTCTTGAGTTGCAAAAATTCTGCAATAGTCATTCATTGCTAATCTAAACCATAAATAGGCCTAACAGTGCGATATGGTTTTGAAGGTGTGATTATGACACATCATTCTAACTCAAATTTGCTTTTGCCCCTGCTAGGCAGCAAACAGTTTCAGACCCCCATGCAGATGGATGAAGAAGAGAGGAAGAGAGGGAAAAATGATGAGACTGTAGAAATACTGACGAACCGTGGAGAATGTGGTTGTGTGAGGTGCAACAAGTCTTTGCTTTTTTTGCCCATGCCTTGAAACCATATAGATAACTGACATTAAGTCCTGATGCATTTAGGCCAACCAACGTGACATTTTCACTATAGTGTGGAGAATAGGAAGAAACTCTCATAGTTTGGTTAGACTATAGGTTTATTGGTTGAGCCAGATGAGTTTTAAAAATGTTTTCCACGTAAAGAAATTGATCACTCTAAATAACGATGACTCAATAAAAAAAATAAAATAAAATAAAACTGCAAAAAAAGTTTTTTTTTTTATATTTTTTTTTAAGTTGACAACTCAAAGATATTAAGTTGCTCCAACAACTTGAGTTGGAGTCCTGGAACCAATTAATCTGATCTATTTCAGTTAAAATCCACAGATCTTATTTAGTATGTATATTTAATGAACAAATAAGATATTACTTGTTAATGACATTAACCCAGTCATTGCTTATAGAGTCAATGTGTTTACCTTCATGAAGTCTCTTCAGAACATGCAGGTAACCACACAAACTTCAACATTACTAAAACTAAATATCAAACATAACATCATTAAAGACTAACAGGTGTTTCCCTCCACTAAAAACACATACAATAACACTTATTTTCAACATGTATTCTCCTTATCCAGTCCTATGAAAAGCACGCTGCACCAGAAATGCACTACCCAAATTCATTTTCAAACTTACAAGTTTTCAAGACAATTTCATTTAAGTTACAACTTAATTTAAAAAAGATCCAATCAACAAATAAATTTGAGTTTAAATTATAGACAATATTAAGTTAATGTAATGATCAACATTATTACGTCAACTGAACTCAACAAAATAATGTTTGCAACTTAAAAGGTTTAATTAAATCAATAAATTAGAATTTGGCTGCAAGTTGCGGTAACAGGTATCCTGAATTACTTTTTAGAGTGTACTTTTAAAATATAAATGATGTACACACGTGACCAGCTGAATTTCTAACCACAAATAATTACTTTCGCATGATGCTAAATCCATGCTAGGGCTGCACGATATGTGCTTAACCATCATAGAGTGGGGATTTATCATTTGCTCGTGTTTTAGGTCCTGTCAGTTTAAACATTCAAGCAATTTGAAACCATTTGAGCGCACAAAGACGAAAAAAAGAGAACGGAATTCGGAACTCGCGCACTGTTTTCTGCGCGCACACGGAGAATGCAAACACCGAATTCCATTCTCTTTCTCATCGATTTGTGCTTGAATGGACACATGGGGCAAAATTATGTCAAAATGCCAGTCTCTGTAAGAATCCTCGTAAACACAGTCACTTAAGGCTTACATGAACGAAAGAAAACATATGCGTATCATTATATTGGATCAGGGCATTAGTTCTTAAAGTGACAGCAGCCTAATATATCTGTCATTAATGTTAATCAAACAACAAAATACAAAGAGAGAATCACTTTTGTGTATTAATTATATTTAATTTATACAGTGAAGACTACGCAGGGCTATTTTACATTTGATTATTCAATTTCTGTACCCTAATAGATTTGAATAAAAAACGTAGGCTAAATCACTGTTTATTTCATTTGTATCTTTGTTATATTGTATTTATCTAATGCTAATTTGTTTATGATTTTCTATGCAGATTCACTCCCCTAAAAAATCACCCCAATCATTCTAGAATTATTAATTCTTTCTAAATAGAGCAATGCATGTTGAAACTGTTTTCATATTGCAATATATATATAAGAAAAACTAAATATGGCAATGTCGATTTCTTCTAATATCGTGCAGCCCTAATCCATGTGGAGCCTTAAATGGATGGGACACTCAAAATTAGCATACTGTCCTCATTTACTGACCCTCACATGTCAATGGGCTCCAAAGTCATATGTGAAATGACTTGTACAGCCAATTTGATTATCCTTAAACTGTTAAGGCAGTAACTGAAGGTTTTGAGTTGAATTATGTGGATATTTTTTTTTACAGTGAACCTGATTTTGTATGAATTCCAATGATGTGAATCATACAAAAGTAAGTATGATGGTCCACCCCTTAACACATCCGTCACTGGGGTTTAAACAGATTGTATGAAAACATTTGAATGAGCCACCAATTCGCCAAAACGTAAAATAGTTACGAATTGCCATGAGATTGTGTTGATCAGTCATTTTAGATGGATTTTTTTTTTCTAATATTTTTATTATTTTTTATAGACATAAATGTTGCATAATTCAGAGGTGAATATTGTCTAGTATCATGAAATCCCCTCAAAACACAAAAAAATAAAGACTATTATTGAAACAAAATATAGTAGCCTACATTAAAAGAAGTTTTGCATATTGTCTTCAGCAGTTTTGACCACCAATGATTACAATGGGGAGTAAATAATGAAATTGTTTTAACATCATTAATGCAAAATAATACCTACACAATACCAAAATGTGAACTTTGCGAATGTAAATGTTTATTCTTTTTTTTTTTTTAAATACATTTTATTTATCATCAAATACAGAACACTGGATCATCATTTGATAACATTGCCATTTATTATAATCTTTAGTACTGTCATTCTTAATAACACATCAGTAAAATTGTAGGAGAGAGAGGATGTAAATTGATGGATGTAACAGGGAGACAATTGGACATTTACAGACTGGTGAAAGGAGGTAAGGCAGCTATTGGAGCACTATAAAGGAGATGTTGTCAGATCAGCCTCTGCTTTATGACTTCATGCCCTCG